CCCCCCCTTCCTATGCTCCCACCCCCTCCCGCTCCACACCCACTCTGACCGGCCGGCGCGGCCCGGAGTCTGCAGAGGACAGAGCGCCTGTGATCCAGTGGGTAGGCAATCGGGCACGCGGCGAAGCGTGGCGGACGCGGCGGACGCGGTGAGGCGGGGCGGGGCGGGGCATTGGAACCACTGGGCTGGGCGGCCACGCATCGACCCAAGGGCGCTGCCGCGGCTGCCGCACGTACAGCAGGCTTCGCGCGGACTCGCTTGGGATAAATATATTGTACACATAGCGGATTGGACCTGATCAGAGTTATCTAGAGTTATCCTCCTGCAGTGAGCGCAGCGGCGCAGCGCTCACCGGCGCACAACTCCAGCCTTTTACGTATATCGCTTTACTCCAAGCGAGAAATATTGATGCTCGTTCTATTTGAGTCGATTGGATTTGAATAACTCAAACGATTCAAAGTTCTCACTCATTTCTTGCAGCGAACAAACGAAACCTTACTCAATAAGGGTTGTTTCCAGTGTACATAACTTCCACCCAGCGGCAGGCTGGCGAGACCGTTAATGCCAATCAAAACACAACACAAGCTGGTTGGGTCTAACTCCCCGGCCCCCAGTGTCGTTTCGGAGCGGCGTGGAGTAGCTTTGACGCTTTCCCAGAGTTCCTCGAACTCCATGCTGCTAAAGCACAGCTTCGAGTTGGTGGCAGTAGCGGAAAGCGAAGTCCATTGCTATATTCAGGTAAGGAATGGCAAAGTCGTCGAGCACGCGTGAGCGAGCCGGCGAGCCGCTGTGCCGCGAGCCGCTGTGATGGCGACCCGGAGAGGATTTCGGAGTACTACTCGAGACTCAGCCCGGCGGCATACCTAGAAGAGGACTAGCGTTCCCGTTGCCGAGGGGTCAACTTTGCCATTTCTTACCTAAATATAGCTCAGAAGTTTCGCCTAAGGTGAAAGATGTCCTAGGAGGCGCTGATTGGATGAACGAAGCAAAACTAGGAGGACTGGTCCACCCAGGTTTCGCTGATATTATAAACTGTCAAAATGAATTTTGTGTTCGTTCTATGCGTCTCTTGTTTCACTGTTTTCCGGCCTGACTGCGTGACCCGATAAATGGGTGGCCCCAGAAGTTCTCCTTTTTTGGGTGGAAATGGGGCCTTTTTTTTAGGGAAATGTTGTTTCTGAAAGGCTCGCGATCGCGGCTGCCTGCCCGTGTAAAGGGGATGGGATATGAGACACGATAAAAGGAGGGGGCTCTTAGAAAACGATTTGTGGGAAATTATTGCGCTTGGGGTGAACCGGGTGAACCCGAGTGAACGGGTCTGGGCGCGGTCCTCGTATCCGCGGTAGCCGACGCAGTCACGCGGGCCACATATTTCGACATGTTTTATGAAAATGCACTGCGGATACCTGCGATGATGCGGTGCTAGACGTCAACCTGACATAACTGGCTCGTGACGTGACCCTGGCCCCGTGCCAAAGCCCGGCCCAGGCCCGGC